AGTGCGAGCCAATGACAGAACATAAATGTATAAAAGTAAAGTGGAGGGTAGATATTACACTAAAAAAATATATAATTACAGATAATATGCAAAGTGTAGGGTACAATTTTTTTTCTGACACCAGAGCCAGTGCTTTAAAGAACCAGGTTTTGTCATAGATCTTATGAGGTTTGTGTCTATATATGCTTTTCCCATTGATGTTTGCAACTTAGCTGAAACTCGTGTCACATTAGTGTGTTTTGTCAAACACAATATAGTCATGCCGCATATGCTCAGGTAAATTTAGGCCTGAGCTTTGACTTAACTGTTATGCGTACTATGGTTGTGACAAAAATGTGTCATTAGAGCTCTGGCAGTATATTCAGAGGTTTAGTCTCATCAGAAAGCGAGCCTCCACCCTAATCTCATGGTGTTTGGAGTCTCTAACTTAAGCCCCTTTTCCAATGCCACTCAAAAAATGTTGAAAGCACAGGTTTCCATAAATGTGTAATCAGGTACTTTCACTTTCCTAGAGTTTTACTTTGGCCCTATTACACACCTACAACATTCTAGGTTCCCTGGGGCTTTTGATGGGTGGGGTTTTGTACAGCTGAAGTTTCTTGTTCCTCACATGGCAACATTTACCGATGGAGAGTGTGCAAAGATTCTTTTTTTTTATTATATATATATATATATATATATATACCTTTAGTTTGTCACAAAATATATCTTGAAATATTTTTAAACAAGAAAGTACACCACATCTGTGTAATTAGTTTTATCAAGAAATAGATGACTTTTAAAGGTATAGTGGAGGATGTTCCCTTTCTGGGTGGATCATCAAAATAAGTGGTCCTCCTAATTGTCAATCATTCTGGTTATATGTTAACGTAAGGCTGTCCTACGTGCTCTTCCCCATTTTAACTTACCGGTGGATAGTCTGACATAGTGGAAAAATTGCCAATCTTCTTTTGGAAAGTAAGTTTGTATGAGCGATGGAAGCAGAAACTTCTAAACAGAGGGTGCACAAGGAGAAATGGGCTTGTGCATGCTCTCGCACTCGTTTAATAGGTGATACCTCTCAGTTACAGGGTTGTGTATGTGCACTTTTTTTAAAGTGGAGAGAATGGGGCTTTTCAAATATTTGCGAAAATCCTCTACTGTACCTTAAAATTTGAATTTGTTTCAAAGCAGCAGAACCCCGGGTCTTTGAGGCAGGGAGATTCGGTCTGCCTTCTCAGCCAGGATGTGGAATAGAATCCCTGGCTAACATCAGTCGACCATTACCCGTTAACTATTTTAACACAAACAGTCAAACAGTAAATGCTTAATCTTTGCTCTAAGTTTGTAAAGAAATAGCCTACTTCAAATCAGCAGAGTCCCGGGTCCTCAGGCCATTGTCCATATCCTGAGCAAGCATATGGAGTGGGGTCTCTGGCAGTCGTCCGTTATCCATTAATTATTTTAACACAAAAAGTTGTTTGATATATTTTTTACTTCAAAACTTTATCTCTATATCCAGTTCATAAGGATTATGGATTCTTTTAAATATGCTTTTAGAGTGATAAAATCCTGCTAACAGGGCAGTCTAACTGCTAGGCTAGTTAAGCTAACCTGCAGCAGTTGAAATACCAGGAGAGGTGCACAAACCTAGAAAGGTGCCCTGGGATTTCCTGCTTCCTAATATCTGTTTGTTGTGACTGAAAGTGAATATAAGCTGTTCATGAGGTATGTGGTAAGAACTGCAAGTGACAGAATATAAAATATCATAGGTTGTGCTGGAAGGTTTTTACATTTTAGGTTAATGTTGGTATTAAATATAAACTGTTTCACTACAGTTTAAAGAAAAATGTTGATATGGTGTAATGATCTGACTGAGCGCTTTCACTTTGGTTATTGTGGAAACAAGAAATATAGACTCTGATTTGACTGACTTTTCATGTATACCTAATTAAGTAGAGTGTGACCCCTTCATCTACATGTATAAATATACTTTTTTTTTTTTCATGGTTCTATGAAGCGCTGCAAGAATACAGATAACTTGGATGCTGTCTGTCTGCTTCTTGAGATCCTTTTGAAGTCTCTTCCTCTTTCATTACCGCCACCCACTGGACTCAAGGTTTAGTTTCTCTTAGTTTTGCTTGTCCCACAGATAGTTGTCCAGCCAGTAGCTGTCTGCCATGGGAAAAGCCTCCTCGGCAGCCGCGTGAAGCTAGCTACCCTCCGTTGCTTGTCCTCAAGAGGGAGCAGCTCACAAAAGGGGCAGGTCAACTGGGGCCTGCATTCAGCGGACTGAGGCAGCACTCCCAGATGGCATGGAAGTTAAACCCCATGATGTAGCCCTTCTGGCAGGAGGGACACAGATGGATGCTGTCACTGCTGGACATCTCAAAATTAGTGCTCTTCAGTCGCTGAAGAAAAAATTTTAGCCAACTGTCCGGTCTCACAGTTATTTATACTGACCGGAGTGGGGCCCAAACAGCAGGTGGGCGTGGACTAAAGTTTTCAGTGCTCAAGCGCTCGTGAAGGGATAAACCCACCAGTGAGAGCCTTAAAGGGCTACGCCTATATTCATAGAATATGGGGTTACAGTACGTAACATATGTACATATATGACAAAGCATGCTGATGAATCCATGATTCCTACTAACCAGGTTAGACAAATTCTGGGGCTCTAAATCCTGGGGCTTTCAGTGGAAAAGAGGCTAAGTTCTTTTCCAGGGTTGCCCCTTTCATCTCTAGAACAAATCAACGTCCCCACATGGTGTCCTCTCCACCAGGCTCCCTCTCTTTAAGAACAAGTTTGGGATTTCAATGCATGACAAATAGGTATCCTGTTGACACATTTTCCCAACTAGACCTTTGCAGCTCATTGCATTATATTAGAGGATTTTTCTGCTTTTCTGATAGTATGTCCATTCAAGATTCTCTAATATAAAAAAAAAAAAAAATGTTCACCTTTAAAAAGCATGTCAACTCAATCTTTATAAAAACAGTTGAATGGAGTTGTCAGATAGTTTTTTCTTCAAAAAAGAATTTAGAGAAAGTCATTCATGCTTTTATCTAATCTCAAATACATTTTTGCAGCTCATTAAACCCCTGACTAAGGCAATAAAGTTTACACAAATTGCAGATGGTGAACAAAAAATAAATAAATAAAAATGCAACAGCCAGACTTCTTTTTAAAGCCTAAAATGAGAGCAGATTAGTTAGATTTTATAGTCTCCCCACTGGCCACCAGTTAATTTCAGAATTTATTTAAGATATTACTGCTGATTCCTCAGGCCCACCCTGGGTTTCTGTCCAATTTAAAATCTGATCTTCAAAGACCTTGCCTAAGGTTCCAAAGTGATAGATTTCTTATCATACTACATTTTACGCTGAGATTAAGAGTGACTGCGATCTTTTGTTTAGAGCATCATTGTGGAATAATTTCCCTGGGAGGATTAGCTTATCAAAATCACTTTACTTTCAGCTTCATCCATTCTTTCCCATGGATTTATACCTGAGTTGTTGGTATATTTCTTTGACATAATTTTAGCTTTTAAATGTTGTGTTTCTTTCTCCAATGTTTTCCCACAAACTTCTGGACCCTTAAAGAGCATTGTCTGTTAACTAATCAAGTAACTTCTGAAATTGATGCAGTTTTTTTGTATTAAGTTTTATTAAGATACATTTTTTGAATACAAATGCATTAATCCGATTTTGATTATTTGTTTTATAAAAGTTCTGTTTCCTACCCTTATCTCATATTTAATCAAATAAAGAAATATGGAAATGTCTGGATATAATATAAAAATGGGAGACTTGAGAGATTTGCAAGTGTGTGCATTTACTTTACTTAGACTTGATACAATTATAAAAGACGTGAAACTGTTGCACAATAGATGAAAGAAAATATTTAAGATTTCCTTCATCCCACATAGTTTGAATGAAAGAATAATGTTCTGGTTATTCCTACAGGTGATGTCAGGTCAGACATTTTACTGTTGTGCTGCAATCTGCAGTGCAAGTATAACTCCATTATAGAGGGGCCTTTAAAATGAAAGCACTGTGACACACAGCAGGATGATTTAGTTTAATGACCATGACAGTGACAGCAGTGTGATGGAAATTGGACTCCCCCTGCAAATTTACATCACTTGAGGGTACTTGGGGGCTCTTTTAGCGGCTGCACTCGAGAGCACGAGCCATCAGGAGGTCCTGGATATGTCATGCTTGTCACCTTCCTTTAAGTGTATCTGCAGACGTGGGAGAGGGATTAATATTATATAGCCTACGGAAGCACGGAGGCCGCCTTATCGGCACTGCAGATGTGATAAGCACCTCTACCCGCGTGAAAACCAGAAAAAATCTCCAAGCAGAAAAAAAGACAAGCATCTCTTTTGTGTTGCCTCCTCGTACTGCTTCAGAGATTCAATGCAGCTTTAGAGGCAGATATGGAGCAATTTCACATCTGTTGTAATTTGATGTGCCTGGATAACCCTCTGTGAAATCATCTTGATCACAACATGGCTGTTTTTAGTTATTTTAAAAGTTGGCATTCAGCTTTAAAGATAATAATCAGATTAAGTTTGATTATGAGCTATTCAGGCTTAGGCAAAAAACAAAATCAGCCTATAAAAAGAGGACTCTTTCGGGGATAATATTTTCTACCTTGTTAATACATAGTCTCCTTTTCCGAAAAAGTAAAACTTATCTATTTAATCAACTGTCATTTTGATGGAAATCTTTTCCATCACTGCCAAACCACTCAGCCCGTATTAGCGCACGTCAAACTTTTGTTGCCCTCAAACTGAATCGGAGCTGTAAATGGAAGTTACGGCAACTGTTGCTGTCACTTCAGTTTTTATCAAAATAAGAGAAGAAAACACCCAGTGGAACCATGGAAACACAGAGAGACACAGGAAAACATCAAGATCAAAGCACGCATACTGTAATTAGAATTTATTGAAAGCCTGCACAGTAAGAGAAAAGTGGATAATCTGTTGAGCATTTTGGATTCAGTCTCAAGCCTTTTACTAAACACACTGCAGTGTTCTAAAATTTTAGCTCCAAGCTATTAAAAAGGTGTTCTTTATTTTTGATTCAAGGGTTGCATCTACTGTATATATTCTAGTTCTACAATAATGAAATGGAAGAAGTATGCCTAGAGAAATTTAGATTCTTCTCTTTTACTGAATCCTTTACCACAGCATGCAAGTTATGTTATAAGTTATAAAGTCTACGTCAGAAAAGTAGTATGACTTTGAGACCTTTGGCAATGGAAAGAAAGGCACTTCCTTTTCCAATCGAAAAGGCTACACAACACCCAAAATGCGTGCCACCCACCAGCGACAAGGCATAATGACTCGACAAGCCAAACGACACCCTCTGTAATTGCAGGGCCAAGGCCAGTAGCCACGTAGAGGCTCACACACTCGCTGACAGTGAGTGTAGCTGCGCTGGCATTCTGAGCAACAGATTCCCTGGTGGTCTAGCATGCTGTCAAAGGTCATGGTGCTCTCCTCTCTGGGCTCTCCGCTGCGCTGTGGTTATATAAAAGAGGATTAATATTAGAAGCAGCAAATTAGTTTTTTAAATCTATATATGAAGTTCAAATTATCTCTTTTAAACATCTCAAAAATGTAGAAACTATGAAAATCTGAGCATTGAGTTTTTCCATATTGGTTCATCATGCTGGAATAGTAGAAACTTTAACCACAGAAAAATGACATTAAAGATGTCAGATTATCCCCTAACTATTGAAGAAGCAGCAAAGAAGACACAGCAGCTGAGATAAGGACTGGATTCAGAACAACACTGTTTCTTTTTATTTATTTTAACCAGTTTTCTTAAAATATATGAAAGATGGATGATGGATAGTTTTGATGTTATTTTTTCAGTTTGAGTTTCGCAGTGTTTGTAGAAGCAGTCGGTATCTTACAGGCAACAGAAGATTCTCAATTTCTATAAACAGAAACAAATTAAGAACAAAGATAAGTGCATGGGGTTAACGGAAACAAGGCGCCAAGTGGAACGTAAGATGCACTACCAAACGTGAAATTAATTCCAACACAAAAGCATTCCAACATGGCATAAAAATGGTTTACATCTTTGCCTTTTCTGTGTCAATTAAATTCATCAGAGCTTCTTTTGCACACGTAGGAAGCTGATTTTAGTACTTAATAATAATGTTCCACCCATTTAGAGTTGGTTGCCACATCAACATTCACTACTGAATCAAGTTTTTGTTTTCTTTGGCTTGTAGCATATCCAAATAATTTATAAGAGCATATTTAATTGATGGCTTGAAACAGACTGGGGCCCTGTCCAAGGTGCTGGAGATATGCATCAGCCCCACTGTGACCCTGACGGATAAGCAGAAGATGGGTGGATGGATTTAACTTGAATTTTGTGTACATGCCGTGTTATACAACACGTTTTACTCTTAAAGCTTGACAACAACTGTATTAAATATTGTTTCGGTTAACAATTTCATAAGCACTTCTCAGACCTTCAGGCTCAAGCATATACGGAGATGATAGTTTTTAACAGTAATAAATCCTGACAGAGCTATTGTTCTTGGGTTATTTTAATGAGTCTGAAAATTATAACCAAAATAGCTGTAAGATTATTAAACAGTATTTAATTTATTATTAACATTTAATATTTTTATTTGCATACTGAATTCAGGCATTAATAAATTTAGTATATAAAAAATGTCTGAAACTAAAAATAGAGGTCTATTGCATATATTTTATGCATTCTTGAAGTCTCTTCTGGATTTTTCTTATGAGATCCAGCATTTTGTTTTTTGTTTTTAAATGGTGCACTGCTGCAAACTTATCATTCTATCACTTGACAACCTAATTTGTCATACTGGTGAGCGATGGAATTAGTATTTGGGTTGTTTAGAAAAAAAAGATGGCACTCCAGGGAGAACAGGAAAGTCTTATTTGATCTTGAAATCAATGCCGAACAAAGTTTGTGGCATAGTAAAGCAATACAGAACTAATTGCATTTGGGAGAGATTCAATTCAGGATAAAGATAATTCCTTTTGAAATGAAAAAAGGAACACACTTCGTTCCATATATAACCACCATAGAACAAAGTTATTTTCCGACCATTGCTTAAAATCCAATTTACACAACCATTACAATCCTGTATCCTTTAACACAGCTGTGAAGAAGTCATTTCAAAACAACACTTTTAGGGTTGCTTTAGGGCTTAGAATGTCCCTCTTGACAACTAATCAAATATTAACCAGCTGTGTAGATTTATATACTCTAACTAGTGTTGTTGATGAAATGATTACTCACATGGTAGGGGTTTTCCGGATTGTACCCTGACCCCACAGCTGACTGTTCTTCATCCTCGGCTTCCTGATCCCTACGATTCACCAGGTCCCTCCCCTCAGTGGATGCCTTGATCTTCTGCATGTCTAACTGCCGTTTGGCTCGTCGCATACCTCCCTTTTTCCTCACCCCATCTGTTACTCCATCCACAAGAGGCAAGAGTTTTGGGTCAACATCCACAAGATGCAATACATGTCCTCGGAGCTGAATCCTACATAGCTGGAGCTGTCTCAGATGTCTTGAATAATTCATTCAGCAGCAGTGATATCAAGCAGTGTTGCATGTTTCAAGTTCATTCTTTTTTAATACATGACTTTGTAAGTCTTTTTTTGCTGTTGAGCTCTAAAATTAGTGTATATTAAAGATGTTCAAGTGTTCAAATAGCTTTAAAGACAAAGCAGGAAATTATACAAGTGTGTCAGCAGATAAGAAAAACAATTACGGTTTAGATTTTCATGAGTTATGAAAAAAGTACACTGCTGAACTTAAAATTAAGTGCAGTGTATTTGAGAGGAGTTTCTTTCTTCTTTCAATTACATCAGAAAGAGCCTAAGGTATAGCCAAACTCTGGAACTGCCTAGGGCACCCCGACTGCCTGCTCAGGCCCCATATATATATATATATATATATATATATATATATATATATATATATATATATATATATATATATATATACAATTACCCACAACTACCCAAATGACATGTTGACTAATACACATATACAAACATATGTTCATAAATAATAATAAAAATTATTTATTTTAGTGAATGAAAACACAAAATTAAAAGAAGGGTTGAAAACACTGATGAAAAGGCCTATTGCAAATGGGACCTGCCAACTTTTTTAGCATTGACCTGTTGCAGATTATCCTCCTTATGCAGGTGGCTGTAACTTCCTGCTGGAAAGCAATGTCCATTAGTATGAAGCCATTTTTTTTTCTGTTTTAAAACCCTTGTTTATCAATCAGTAAAACTTTAATTTTGTAATAAAGGGAGGGTTTGATTTTTATCTGCTGTTCAGCAAAGTGAACTGAAATATCTCACTTTGTAATAAATCCTTACAGTATATTACATTTAGGTTTAGAAATAATCTGCAAATTTATCTTGAAGCTTTATATTGTAGCAGAATATAAGATATGGTAAGACATTGAACATAATATGTTTAAAGTGTTTCATGTCTGCCTATGTTAATTACATTTTTTACCTTCTTACTCTTTTCCTTCAACATACTTTTCCATTATACTGTTCTAATAATGCAGCATCGAAACATTCAGCTTCCTGATGACCCTGTGGGACTTAACAATACCTGTGGAAGATATCAGTGACTGCCTACTGGACAATTGTTTAATCTGTAGTTGTCCCTATGATTATGAAGACCATATGACAGGAATAAGCATAGCTTTTCTCTGTTCCAAAGTTTTTCTTGGTTGGAATTGTAAACACAAGTAAAATCCTGCTTGGGGCATCCTAAAACATCAGACAGATTTGAAAAAGAAGAAGTAACCTTTAAGGTACATGGGTTGGAGCCAGAAAATTGGTAGTTCTCTACAAAGGTCCAGAATTCTGTTGCTCAAAAATGTGGTGTTCCTCAGTGGTTGCTTTGCTGCAACCCATACAAGAAACTCCTCATCAAACCTCTCAGGCATCAATCCATCTGTCTGACAAGAGAATAAACACAGTTTCTCCAAATTAGATCAATGCTGCAATTTCTCATTTTCTTTCCAAATTCTCAACATAGCGTGTCATAGAACCTCCACACATACCAGGTCAAACATCAGTGTGTCTTTGTTATGTGCTCCCATGAGCAGAAGTTTTGCTGTGATATGGGATTTTATATAGCATTTGTCTCCTTCAACAGATCGGATTCCAGTTATTCCCTGCACCAAGTCACAGAGATGCCATGTTTACACTCACAGTTTCGCTACTTTGCTAAGCACACAGAAGGTCTCAGCTGAGCTCTGAGAGAAACTGAAAACAAGGACAAACTTACTCACAATTTGAAAGTCATGAATCTCCACAGCCTCCCTAGCTCCGCTCCCAGTTTGAAATCTCTGCAGATTGTTGTCAGAATCAATTTCCATGGAACCCTCCCTCACCTCCCCGTTGATGTTCGCGCTGTAGTGAACATTATAAACCTGACAGCATTCAAAGTGAGATGTTAAAATGACTGATTGGTGGAGTTATGTAAATTAGAAAGTGGTAAACACAAACAGCACAGGCAGGAACCAGCTTCATGTTGCTTTGTGTTATTTACCCCCTCGTAGTCATTTCAATGGAACAAAATCCTTTGTTGTTTTAACACACTGAGAATTTGACTAAAGCACAACAGAAGACGCTGTTGCAGACCCGGATGAGGAGGTTTGCCCCACATGTGAGCTCATTAGAACACAAATAAACATTATGCTGTTGCTTGTGAAATTTAGAAGAGCACAATGAATCAACTTGTGCAACTCCAGGGTTGAAATCCTGCACACTATTCAACATTTTCAACATATAATTCCAATTCACTTACATTTTTATCACTGACTTTCCACATGTAGAGGGAACCCACAGATGCACACAACATGAATGCTGCCCCAACAATAAGCGCTACAACTCCAAATCTTAACATCCGACTCACTCTGGTAGAAGGTGCTGTGTTGGATGTCCTTTGACCCTTAAAATAAAAAGCAAAAGACATTTTCAGTATCAAATGCTTAAAATGACTTTGGCTAGACTTGTACAGCTGGGAAAACCTAAGACTTTACAGAATTGAAAGCTTTACAAACATGTCAGAGATGTCAGTAATGATTCTGATCAAAGACTAGAGACTGTCTTACCACAGCACAGCAAGATCCACCAGCTGAATCCTGCACCTTTTCCATAATCTCTCTGCTGTGGCTCTATAATTCCCTGTCTAGTTGCTTCTCTTTTTGAGAGCTGGGTTATCCGCCAGTAGTCATTCTGACAGGTATGTGTGAATGACGTAAAGTTAATATAAAATTGCAAAATTCTTCATCTCGATGTTACCTGGGTCTCCATCTTTCCTCCCAGCAACTGTGGCCCCTGGTGCAAAACTAAGACAAACTTACAAAGAAGCTTTGAAATAACAAAAAAAAATGTCTAATACCATGTGCTAAAGACAGGGATGCACTGTTTTGATATATTAAAAAAAGAACACACATACATGATAACATGGATCAATAGTGCTTGACCTCACTGTCTGTGAAGTATACTCTATACCAGCTTAAAGGTATTTATGTTGTGTTATAGCTACAATGACTTGAAAAGGTACCCATACACATGTATTTCACATTCCCATTATATATAACTATAAATAGGAAATATAATAGAATCATTATAAAATGTCTGAATAGGTCTGCATACATTAGTTATTATCCATCCTGATTTCAGATCTTGTAAAACCATCTTTTGGGGTATGTTACTACAAGCTTCATCTATCTTTACACCAACTCTGTATTGACCCAGCTAATAAATAAGCTACACAAACAGCAACAACAACAAAAATAATCAATCGCAGTTTTGTGGCACGCATTACCAAATGTGCTTTAAAGAGATTTTTAGATCTGGGGTTTGAATGTCTGCAGCTCCTCCAATGCTACCTCCTGCCTTGTGGCTGCTGATTAGCGCTGCCCTTTTGTGCCAAAAAGTTATCATGTTTGCATATATACTATGTTTTCATCAATTTTATGACTGATATCTATATAAGGTTTCAGCATTCTTTTTCAGATTGTTAGCTTTTTAAAATCATTCTCTGTAATTCTATTTCACAAATAGATTGGTAAAGATAATCTAAATATCAGAATTAGAAAATATTAATTTCAATTCAGTTTCTTAATATAGTGCCATTTAACAACAAATGTGATTTCAAAGCATTTCACAAAGAAAGTTCAATCAGATCATACAGTCAGATTGGTTTAACATTTTCCATCTATGGAAGCATGTATCTAGCAAAGCTAGAAAAGCTAGGAAAACCTCAGTTTTAACACAAAAAATGTTAAAGCAAAACAAGGCTCAGTGTGAAAGACCTTCTTCTGAGGCCAACTGTGGGTTCAAGAGGACAGAAGCAGACATACTAAAGGAATATGGAGGCCGTGATCTATAAATACTTTCTATGTTAAAAATATCAACTATCATCTACTGTATAATGAAGGTTGTTAAAGGCAGCAGCCTAGCTGATGTCTCCCTCCAAGATGTAGTCACAGCCAAACAAGAACAGACCAGATGATGAAAAAGCAAAGAGAAGATAAAATTAGAGGTTGGACTTTTAATTCTGCAGATTTGGATTGCAGAAAGCATAATAAACCAAAAATAATGAAAAAATAGTCCTTATGTCTTCCAGCAGGCTAAACCTATACCAGCATTGTTAGAAAAATAACTCAGGGTAACCTGAACTCCTCTAAATATAAGTGTTATCAAATAGGAAAATGTTAAGCACAGTATTAAAAGTACACAGTGTCTCCCTAACAGATTCAAATTGTTAATTGCTTCCACACTAGAGGAGTCTGATAACTAAAACATCTGTCTCCCATTCTACTTTAAGAAATTATAGGAACCACTAGTAAACCTGCAAATTGAGAGCAAAGGAACAATTAGATCTCTTACAGAAGATGGAGCTTGGTTATTTAGGGCTTTATAGGTGGGAAGGAGAATTTGAAATTCTATTCTGTATTTAATAGGAAACCAGTAAAGGAAATCTAAAATAGGACAAACAATACCTTTCTTTTTAATTTAATCAAAACTGGATGCAGTATTTTTGATTAGCTGAAGGCTTGAGGAATTTCTGATATTAAAAAATTACAATAGTCCAGCCTTGAATTAACAAATGCATGGACTAGTTTCTCATTCTCACCCCTGGACAGGATATTTCTATTGTTTGCAGTACTGTGAATATTAAAGAAAACAATTTTAGAAACCTCTTTGATATGTTATTTAAATGATAGGTCTTAATGAAAAATACTACCAATGTTTTTACTTTATTATGAGACCAGTTCAATCCATCCAGATCCAGTCACAATCAGCTTCCTTTTCAAAGACTCTGGTGCAAAGCAAATAACTTTTTTTTATCTACAATCAAATGCAGAACGTTCAGAGCAATCTATTTTTTTCTTCCATACCTATAGTATATAATGATCATTAGGATCTATGGACAACGGTCATTGGGATAACTGGAATTTAATCCAATGCTATCCGATAATTCCATGAATTGGGAGCATGTATACCGTAAAAAGAATTGGCACAGATCCACGTGGTACTTCACTTTTAAGCCTAGAGCTTAAGGAACAGTTATTATTATATCATGAACAAACTGAAATATATCAGCAAATAAAAATTAAACTGACTAAGTGCTTTTATCTTACTTCCTACAGAATGTTTAAGCATTTTTCTGTGATCCCATGTATCAAATGTAGCCCTGAGATCTTACAGGACAGGCACAAGTCAATTATCTGAGGCCATGAGAATAAAACCTCCTGGACATGAATAATTACCTGCCATGGAATGCTCTTGTTTCAGTTGTGTGGTGATTAATCTACTTAAATTGATGTAAAAAAAAAATATGCAGTTTGACTTCAAATTTATGCAGAAAAGTATAAATGTCGACTACTACCTGTCATATATTCTTATGTGCTTGCTGCAGATTTTCTGAAGTTGTTTGCCAACATGTCAGCAAGGATAGAAGCTATCACCTTACCTCTAGTCAAAATTGTAAATATTATTATTCTTAGGTTTATGTATTTAGACAGCTTGCTGGATGACAGTACAGACTCTAAATACCTCTCTCTCTCACACACACACCACACACACCGTGTGTCACATTATCCTTGTGGGGACATCTGTTTACTTTTGTTCATACTGCACTCATTGCTATGGCCTAACTCTGACCCTTACCCTAACCATTACCAACACACATACCGTACATAATTCTAACTTTAACCTAAACACAGTTAACATCTTAGTCCAAAACCCCAAGTAGCAAATATCTCCTTATGGAGACCAGTCATCATTCAAAGCAAGTACCTATATGTGCCCAGAATGAAGCATCTTTCTGACAAATTTATCCCACAAGGTAACAAAAACATGGCCACACATATAGAAAAATAGCATTGGCTTAATTACGAGCTTTCTGATTTAAAGTTTTATGGTCAAGGTTTCTCTGTCTTTATTATAACCTAAAAGTAAGAGAAAATAGCAGGAAAAGGGATCCAAATGTACTGCTCTCCTGTTGCTTAGGAACAGATTAGATTATATTTTTTGGATAATTGGTAAGCTGGGAGGCAATCACAGAAGGTGAAAGGATTCTTTGACTTTTGAAAAATATGCAATTGTAGGGGAAATTTGAGCAGCAGCACCACATTTGCATGCAAATTGTAGCAGCAGAGTAGCCACATTGTGCACGATGAGAAGACAAGGAGATTGGTTTTCACTCACTATCAGTTTAGAACTACATTATATTTACTACAGCTCAAAAGCCTTTGAGGGAAATAAAATGCATACAGGCGGTTAATTGAGGCTGCATTATGCTAAACATCTCCCTTTTTTATCACTATTGAACAGCAAGACAGTTTTAATTTAGTTATTTTTTTTATTTGTGCAACAACAGGATAATATCTACCACAAACATGGTTTGATTGTTTTCCACAGCAGGGAGGCATTTTTTTTTTTTTCAGGCTAAGTGTTCAAAAGTCATGCCCTTAAATAGTAACACATGCTTTTAAAAAGTCATAGTAAAATTACTTTTTACAACGAATCCTTATTAAAAATATATATTTTCAATAAAAAAATCTTGCATATTACACATAATACAATAAACAGTCTTCTATTACCCAAAAGACACACACGACACGTTACTCAACACGTCAACAATCCAACATGGAGTCAATTTGGAATTAAAAATCTGTACATTACAAAGACTAAATGCCTTTAATTACAGTTTGAGACACAGTTTGGGTTCTTTTAAGAGTTTGTGTACTCAGGGATTGATAATTCGTCTGTCTCCTGTATCCTAGCTGGTGTGGGTGGACCAACCAGAATGTAATCGAACTCCTGGTGTTGGACCTTTTCATACACGCTCTGCAGACCATTGGTTTTAGGGATAGTGGCCGGATAAAAGTTTTCCCTCCTGGCATCTCGGGGAAGCGTGGCAGTCTTTGAGAATGTTGACAGGTGTGGTCCACAGGCCAAGCTTGTGTTTGGTCGGCTGGCTGATGGGCTCCAGCAGCGGTCGGAGTGTCCCAGTATTTTGCATTCACTTGTGCATGCCCAGAGACCTGAAAGGGAAAAGGACAGGAGCACTTGCAAAGATGATGTATCATATAAATGTTTAAGGATAGGAGACTCTAGAGAGCTCAAATAAACATAATGAATCTAAATAATTCATAAAAATTCTTCAACACCTATGAATATGCAACTCAAATTTGGCTCTGCATTGATTTGTCATTTTGTTTTCTGACACTCACTGTTTGTTGGTGGGGACTCCTTTTTGTGGACATCAGCACTGATGTCAGAGTCGCTGTCGTTGAAGTCACTGTCCCCTTTTCCGCTATCCTTCCCACTGATTTGGGGGTCTCTTGCTGAGATAGTTGTGAATGAGTTGCCTTTCCATATTGTTATAGGCCTCACAGTTTCTTTTCCATACCCTGGTAGTGTGCAATAACCCTGCAAAAATACATATATAGAAAAAAAATGTTTTTCAGAAAACTCAAACTGTTAAGGTGGTAATCTTAAAATGTATAGAAAGCCTCTGCTTACCTTTAATTTGGCCTCTGCTGGCCTGGTGTTGGGCTCAAAGATTCCTGTTGTCTGCCTGCTTTCCTCACTGCTGGTCTCTGTTGTGTTGTTACTGGCCAGAGGCAGGCCCTCTGGAAATGAATGGGCATCAAATGCTTTGCCTTTGTGATTGATGATCAATGATTCCATACGATTTTTTCCCACTTTATCTGCATCTGTCGTTTCTTCTTTTTCGTCGTAGCTCTCCTCATTTGTCTCTTTTTTCCTGCGGCTGCAAATGGTAGCGATCATAATGATAGCTAGCAAAAGAACAGAACAGCTTCCAGCCAGGACAATGATTATGGCTACAGACATATTCCATTCAAAGAGCTCTTCATTGCTATTTTCAGCTGACGAAGGCTGGCTGGGCGGTGTACCTTCTATGAAATTGAAAATAATCATGGCTGTGGAAGTCAGAGAGGGGGAGCCTTTGTCGTTGACAGCTACTGTGATTTTAACACTGTCTGTGAGGTCATAAGTGAGTTTTCGACTCACCAGCATCTTTCCAGTGTCTTTATTAATTGAAAATCCTAAATGTCCCCCATCTGTGATCTTAAATGATAGTTGTGCATTTATGCCCTCATCAGCATCTGTGGCCCTAATCTGGGTCACAAAGTAACCTGCAGGTGCATCTTTGGGCAGGAAAAGCTCAGCAGACCCCTTGTAGAGTGGAGGCTCTACGATGTAAGGCTGGTTGTCATTTTGATCAACTATTTTTAACCTGATGATAGCTGTGCTTTGCAGCTGGGGTAACCCCCCATCGCTTGCCTGAATGTGCACATCCAGCTGCTTCATCACTTCATAATTGAAGCTTCTCAGTGCATATATGGAGCCAGAAACTGAGTTCAGAGACACAAAGGTGTTCACCGGGGAACCCATAATGACACTGTCCACAAGCCTGTAGGTGAGCTTCCCGTTGTTACCCAGATCTGCGTCGCTGGCCTCCACTGTGGTGATGTAAGCACCCGGAGCGTTGTTTTCCACTACTGACACTTCATACACAGCTCTCGCAAAGTGGGGTGCATTGTCGTTCTCATCGCTGAGCCTAATGGTGAACTGGGTGATTTTTCTCAGCGGGGGTGACCCGAAATCCTCAGCCATGACTGTTAAATTATACTCACTGATCCTCTCTCTATCAAGAACAGCAGCTGTGACAATCATGTAGCTGTCCTCGTGAGCCTGTCGGAGTTTGAAGTGATCGTGGCCGTAAAGGGAACAGTGAACTTGGCTGTTAACGCCAGAATCTCTGTCCAAGGTGCTGATGAGCGCTACCAGGCTATCCTTATCCGCTGCCTCACTTATATACGCAACACCAGTGGAAATCGAGGTTATAGGGGTGATGCTGATCTCCGGGACATTATCGTTCACGTCCGTGACGTGAATTATAATTTTGCACACAGACGGGGTCGGATTTGCGCCCAGATCGATTGCCTGCACGTCCAACTCGTATGTGCTTTTATCCTCAAAGTCCACGGGACTCTTTAGAGTTAGGCGACCCGATTTGTTATCCACTTGAAAAAGTTCGCGGATCTCACTAGAAACCTGTTTTCCGAACCCATAGACCACCTCTCCATTCAGACCCTCGTCCGCATCCACCGCGTTCAGGTCCAGAATCACGGTGCCGACAGGCGCGTCCTCTGGGAGGCTCACTGAGAAGCTGTTCTTGTCAAAAACGGGACTGTTGTCGTTAAAGTCAGTCACTCTTACTGTTATCTTAGTTGATCCGGATCTGTGAGGATTTCCTCCGTCTTTTGCCACCAGTTCTATGTTATATGAGGACTGAACCTCCCTATCAAGTTCCTTCATCAGAATAAGCTCCGCATATTTAACCCCATCTGCTCTTTGGAGCACATCGATGGTGAAATGACTATTCACAGAAATCTGATAGCTTTGTATATAATTTGAACCTACATCAGCATCCATAGCGGGGTCCAGGGGGATACGGGACCCCAGCGCAGCGTTCTCTGAGATTTCCACCACAGACTCCCTGCTCGGAAACTCTGGAGAGTTGTCATTAACATCCCTTATTTCCACCTCGACGTGGATCAATTTGTAGCGGTCTTTGGAGAAATTAACCACGTCAAAAGTAATCAGACACTGTGGAGTGTGCCTGCAGATTCTCTCCCTGTCGATCCGCTCCCCGACAATAAGTTGTCCATCGCTTTCTCTCACGCGGATAAAGGAGTCGTTAAATTGTTTCATCATCCTGAAATTAGTCTTGGATGAGTGGGACAAACTCAAGGACATGTCCTTGGCGAGGTTCCCGATGACAGTACCTGGTGCGTCCTCCTCTCTGGTCTGGTACCTCACTGTATTTCCTTCTGACTGGGTCCAAGACACGAATAAACAAAGATGAAGACAAAAAATAAGAATCCACTGATGCCAACAAGTTTCAATCATCTTTGCAAAGGTATTTCCCCCACTGAGTAGTCTCTTTGTATGGGGCTCACCTCTGGAGCGAGCTTTCAATGAAGCGCCCTGCTTTTACCAACTGAACTGTGCTGAAAGTTAGTCCTTCACAGCGCGCAGCAGCCAGATATGCTCGCAGCCTCCCCTTCAACACAGCTCCAAATTCTGCAGTGGCGGGGTTTATACGGCTCCTCATGCTAATGAGACCAAGTGTGACCAATCCGTCGCTTTAGAATTAAAAATACATCCACAAAGGGGGAAAAACGCTGCTCTGATATTTTTTTCTTTCTTTATGCAACAGAAAATGGGGCAGAAAGATAAAGGAACAAATGCAGATGTGTCGGGATTTTTTGTTTAGTTTTGCCTCGGTTTTGTTGTGCTTGTTTTCTGATCAAAGGAGCAGCTAAATAAATTCGAATATCATTAAAGAAGTGAATTTGTTTAAGTTATGCAATCTGAATGAGTGGAACTCACATTAGGGTTTATAAATACTAATGTATTAGGACATTTGGTTAATGTTTCAAACAGATATGTGAAACGTGCTCAAAGACATATGGGTGATCAACACATACTGACCTCCTACACAACAAAGGTAAGGCATTGATGAAAAAAACATGTTCAGAGAGAGCTGTATCTAAGCAAAGCATGGGAAGTTTACTCATAGGAAAACGTTCAGTGAAAAGCCAAAACAGTCTATAACAACAGCACCACTGACAAGGGAACCCTTTGACAATTATCTAAAAGTTAGTCTGCTTTTTTTTTTACTTTCTCCTATTAGTAGCATTTGTTATAACCTATTAACCACATAGTTAATATTTCAAGTGCAGAATGAATTAATAGAACTGATGAAGAACAAGAAACAAAACAGTTATTTCAGATGAATTAAAATTTTAAACTTTAAAATGACATGCTTTTTTCTTATCATGCTAAATGACCAGATTTCCAAATGTAGAATTAGCTTTGATGATTTATTGCTGTAATGTTTAGAACAATTCCCCGATTCTTGATACATATTGCTCTTAATATGTAATTTGTCTTTTGAAATGAATTACCCTTTTTAATTTAAACATTAATCATTTTCGAAGATTCCTTTTAAAAGTATACGTAACAAGTAACTGACAAACAATGAAACTTATGAAGAAGAAGGGGAGAAAGAGTAAAGAGAGTGAAACATCTTAAATGTTTATTTACAGCGAATGAAAATCTACACTACAATTTCTTAGCAAATAAAAGAAAAAACATAGAAACAACAGCAGCAACAAAAAGAAAAACAAGTCAGAAATGTAATGTTATGGCTATGTTATGCGTATAGAGTGACGACGAAGCCTGCTCACCTGACAGTAGCTGTTTACATACACAAATGTATTCTGGGTAACAAAAAAACAACCCCAAATAATATTGGACAAAATGATCAGACTCTTATATTGATAAAAGTAATTGAAATAAAATTATAGATCTAACTAATAATGTGTACATTAAACATGCCGATTGGAATATTCAGATAGCATCTAGCCACTTAAGCTGCAGATACATCATGTTGATGCAGGGTGAACACTCAGGTCAGCTTGCCTCATTCAGATTAGTATCGATCCTGTCAAGTGTTCACATGCAATGCAAACATACTGTCAATCAGCACAAACCATCCCTCTTAAGTGAATTATAATTTTATTCCGATCCTGCCAAAACTAATTAGAATATTCCCAGTGGCATGTTTATGACACATTTTTGTTTTGATCAACCTTTGGATTAGTTTTCTCCATGTAAACTTAGCTAGTGACTGTCTGCTAGAAAAGTAGGTGTACATGGACATACTAAGTGAGAATAATTTGTTTACTTATGCTGTGGCTTTACAATAACGGCTAAAATATTTATCTCAAAATAAATGTATTAATGTGTCTGGATCATATAGGTGTCATGATTTGTGGAGGCGAAGGACTGAGGTGGTAATCAGACACCGGGAGGTGCACAATGGTGAACAACTACTTAATAAAGAAACCAGGAATTCCATAAAAAAAAAAAAAAAAAATCACAGGAACCAGATGACAACAACAAAAGAACAGCAGGAAACAATGACAGAAAGATGAGGACCAGGCTAAGAGCAATTGAAAGGCATTGGTTTAATAAGGGCAGATTTATGTTGGAAGAGTCCAAAAAAAAAAAAAAAAAAAAAAAAAACAGAAAATCACAGTGGAAGGGGACCTCGAAACCATGTTAAGAAAACAAAAGCTAACAAAAGATGTCCGCAGTTAAGTGGACTACCCAGAGGATGACTCTTGCTAGCAGTTGATGTAGTTGATCAAGCGACCGTCCAGAGCAGGTACAAAGTTAGGACAGGAGGCCTGGCTGCTTTCCCAAAGAGGCCCAGAGTTGAGGAGGCCAATGGAGAACCAACTGAAGATCCTGTCATAAGCTCAGATAGAAACTGGGGACCCAGAAAATAGTTTGGGTGAAGGCAGGTGGCCACGAAGGAGCTCAGGTAATCGCTGGAGACCATGAAGGAAGCTTAATAGCCTTGTAACCATAAAAGAGCTCTACTCTAGCCTGTATGACACAAAGGAGCCTTGCAGAAGCACAATAGAGGTCTTCAGAGCAGAATCACTCAGAACCTCAGGAGTGGGATTAAAGAAACCGCAGGATCTGGTGCAGGAACAAAGGGAATAGCCATCATGTGACAAGAGGTACTGGTGCAGTAAAGAGACCTGGTAGGTACTAGGACCTGCTGGTGGAGGACACTGTTTATAGAGGAATCCTGACTGCTTCGGCCTGTGTTGTGCGTCAATATGAGAAACAAAGGTTTTTTGAGACAGAGCTGGCTCAGGAGGCTTCGGCACAGTGTTTAGCCCTGCAGAAGTTTGCAGAACAGCAGGGCAGGAACACTGGTGGATCGGCAGCCTTTCTCAGAGAAGCAGGCTGTGGACGTGGCAATGCTACACTCAACTGACCTATACAGGAACGATGTATAGCACCAGGCATCGTACGGCATGTAGTTCCTTCCAGCTTCATTCCAGTAGTTCTGCTTACAGGTGCGGCAGAAGAACTGTAGTGCAAGAAAGGTGGAATGGATGGCCTTGAGCAGTGACCTCCACTCCTCCTTTTCTCAATCCCCCGACTCAGGTACTGAAAAAACGTTAGTTTTTCAGATCATGTTTCCTTGTCTTTTGGTTGGTTTGGTCATGCTGTCATGATTTGCGGGGGTGAATGACTGAGGCAGTAAACAGACATCAGGAGATTCATGATGCTGAAGGATTTTTTTAATGTAGAAGCCAATAACCACAGGACTACAGGGAGACAGGAACTGGATGACTAAAACAGAGGAATGACAGAAAACAATGACAGAAAGATGATGATCAGATCAAGGTCAACTAAAAGGCCTAAGCTTAAATAAGACAAGGAATAACTGAAAACACATCAGGACAATAGAAATATAATAACAATAAGAATAATAATAGGTTTGAATGGAGAAAATAGTTCGCTGCAACATTTTAATGACTCTTCTGGCTAAGATATAAAAATAAAAAAATCACTTCCTGTGCAGTCTGGTCAGAAATTAAGCTCCCACTAATTTACATACCATACTTTTCATTGTTCATTTTGTTGTAATTTGTATCTCAAATTAAACATATTTACCATGTAAGATTGAGTAAACTTACTCTACATGTTAATTTAGAAAACAGTTTCTCTATATTAATAGAAATGTCTCCAGCTCAGCATGAGGAGATAAAAACCCTCTGAAACCATAATTAGTGCAAAGTACAAAGCAGGAATAAACAGGTGTTTACTTAATAGATGCAATGACATTATAACACCTTCAGTTCAAATAATGTAGAAAATCCATATTAATACATTTAAATCTCTTTCTGCCACTTCTGTTGCAGCAGGGAAGCCAATTTATATATTTCTATTTAGGTAAATATTAAATAAATTTAATATCTAAATAAAATAAAGCAGCCTTTGGATTTTTTGAGGACGCTGGTTGGGAGGTTAGAATGTATTTTAAAAGATTGAGAGATGACAAGCATTAATAGTCATTAAAAAAAATATGAAATGTGATTTGGATGTTGTGGATTTGATGAGAAACTATTTATTTCAGCTATTACATACTTCCGACCTAACTGTTCCCTGGGGCAAAGTGCTTTCCCCTCAGATATTTGAAACTTGTCTTGAAAAATTTGTGAACTTCTCTTGACTTGGTACACCACCCTGGCAACACCACCCTAACACTGAAACACAGTGGTGGCAGGATCATGATTTAGTGATACCTTTGTTTAGTGGAGACAGGAAAGATAATCATAGTTGAGAGAAAACTGAATGTAGTGCAATCCTATTAAAAGAAAATATAAAAGAAAAACTGTTAGGGGCTGCATAAACAGCCAGAGCTACAATAGATTGGTTAAATTAAAGAATATTTATGTTGGATGGCCCAGTAAATGTCAAAACCAAAATCCTATTAAAGAAACCATGCCAAAACATTAATATGTAAATGTAGAAATGCTTCCAATTTTATCAACTGCCACTAGATGTGAAAAAAGGATTTCTATTATCTCTGTGTTGTATTTCTTCTTTAGAATAATGCACCACTTTATATCACAAAATTAAGGTGAAATTGAATTAACTCTGTAGTTTTAATGTCACATAATGTGAGTAATTGATGCAAAGCACGTTAGATAAGCAAATGAAAAGTCAAATGTTATTTTTTTCTTAATTTTGCTGCATTTGTTTTGGTACCAGATTCTTTGTTTCCAAGATACAGAGAATTGTGTTGTATTAAGTTTAAACAGCAAATTGCTTAAAAAACAAATAACATATATATAGTTTTATGTTTTTCATTTTAAGGATAGCATACTGCAGTTCAGTGAAAGAGTGTTTTTCATATTTCAGGTAAAATGGAACTTTAACCTGCACAAACCTCTAACAGCATCCCTTCTATCAGCTTTGGGAAGAATAAGGAGTGTCAGATGAGTGACAGACCTTATCACTCAGCTTCAGCGTCTGACCTCACCGATAATTGTGCAGCTGAAAAGGATCAAATCCCTTCTCCCTCTTGATCCACAGTCTTGCACTTTCAATGAAGGACACAGTGAGATAAAAGTGGTATATTAATGCACATGATTTTCTGTAGAGATCTGCTTATTTAAGCA